GGGTAACCATCTCCCGCGTAAACTGTGTAAGGGATCTATCCTTTTTCTATACCAGCGCTCTCGACTTTTCCACGCACATTCGCTGCCCTCGAAAAAGTACAAAATACCTTCACGCGTGAAATTTTTTTCTCGATGTGGATATTTTTCTATTCTGGTATTTCTAAAGCATCCATTCGTAATAGATACCTTGAATTCTCAAGATTGGAATCACGGCGCAAGGTGTTTTGATAATGTTGTTGTGTGTATGATTCACAAACTTCTGTACCAGTGTAATGATTTTGGCTCTTTTGATGTTTATAATAAAACAAATTCTCGAACAAGACGTGGGCAGACTAAAATTCTTTTTCCTGGGCCTAGAACCAATTGAGCCAGAAGCTTCAGCTTCAGCGTTGGTAGCATGTACATAAAAGTAACCAAAAATATGATCGTGCCCGAGGCCTTGAATAGGTTCAAGCGTAATATGACAGTGGTTCTAACCAAGCAAGAGCTTTTCTAGTTCATTGAGACTGATCAATTGAATATATACTTGTGATTCCATCTTTGTCTAATATCTGGGTTAATGTTGCATTACGTGTTATATGGTTTTCGTCTTAGTTTGCTCGTTTGGTTACTGTTTTTATCTTCTGTTCCGCATGGTCTATTATGTTGGTTGTAGGAGGTTGTCTTTTACTGCGTTTGCCTTTGCAGCGTAATAAACACAAATATAACCATTAACATGAAGACAATGGCATAACATAGCGTCACGTCGCCACAGCTTACCACGACAGGAATAGCCGGGTGTACAAAGAATGAATTGTAACAGGGTATAAAGCAATGTATAAATCAGTCGAAAAACTAACAGAAATAATTCACGTTTCCTTCTTGAATTACCCTAGAATCATGATGCAAAAAGCTCGAATAACTGGTATAAATCTAGAAGGAAAAACTTGCTTGATAAAAGCCTCAACTGCTTCATAGCAACGAGTGCAGCAATATAAATAAATTGGTGGTTGGTTGCAGCAGTAGAATGAATTAAGAGCAATACTTGACGAATTCAGCAGCAGAAATCAGAGGAACAAGCGCCCACCCTAGTAATGTAGTGAATAGCGGAGTAGCGGTATACATGACCATCGGCGCCCCAGCACAATTCCAGGGGTGTATTCATCCTGGCCCTGTGTAGGGAGGCCTCCCTTCCCAGGATGAGGAGTGGATGGGGGAGGGGGGGGGGGGGCGCTTCTCTGACATGAGCTCTAGCCAAGGTAAGGTCGCAGAGGCCAAGGTCACATGGTAGTCGAGGGCTGTCGATTCTTCACCTGTTGATAGGAAAAAATTTTGCTTTAATGTCACTAGCTTGACCCAAAACCTACCATTTGAACGTTCGCGCCCTTCGCAAACATTTCCTTGGGGAGACTCTCCCCTTCCCTACCGTGGGCGTTATGCTTACGGCCCATTATGGAAGCTATCCCGAAAGTGTGACTTCAAACTATCTTCTATCTAGGCTCTCCTTTACGACAAGCTATTTTGGGTTTGTGCATGCTAATCATGTGCCTCTTCGACCTGATAAAAGTCCAAACTCTTGGGGGCATTAATCAATCGCGTCTCAACGATTCGCCCACGCTATCGACTTCCATTCGGAGTTGTAGTGGTGTACTGTATACGTGGCTATACGATGACTGCTGATGGCCAGCCAATGTGCAAGTCAATGCTTTCATCCCTCCAGACGGGTCCGGTACCAAGTAATCGATCCTATAGGGATGGAGGGCTCGGTTCGCTCAGGCAGAGATCGATCCGGGATTCGAACATGTGAGCATGCATGTGTGTAGTGACCCACATGCCACTACACCTCCTCCCTCTTCATGCTGATTTAATACAAAGGTTATTCTCGATATGGTCAATTTGAACTGAAGACACAAGTTTGATTGTAATACTCAAGGTAACATGCGACTCTCCTCCTTACCAAATAAGCAGAAACCGTTAAAAACAAGGCGGAACATGCTTTCGAAGAGTTTCCTGAAGTCCTATGATCACTTTCTGTAAAACTGTTCTGCTGTTTTGCTCGCTCAACATCGCGATTGGCAGCTGTTGGCTGCATATTTTTGATGACAACTTCTTACTTGTTGGGCACACACAATTACAATTTATTAATTTATTTATTATTTATTTATTTATTTATTTATTGGTTTACATATACAATTGGTAGGTTATGGTAGGCTTTTGCGGGCACGCTTCTGATATCAAACGGTCTTGAAGGTACTCGCAGTGATTAGTGCCTGAACTACGAAATTGATGAGTTAGTTGTTTGCCAGTTCTGCCATTTCAAGTGAACAGCTCAAACAGAGTTACCATACCGGGCCCTTTCTACGAGAGTGTAGCCAATTTCGAGCGCGACTATTAAAGACTATAGCTAGCCATACAGCGATAGGCCATGATTCGTACCGATCATTTCAAGGACTCTGATGTCTTCACTGAGAGATCATTGCGGTTTTTTCTTAGGTTTACTTGACGTGGTTGGTTATGCCAAGTGGCAATCTCCGTTATCGCATTATTTCTTCTGCCTGGCCTCGAATAAAGTGATGTTCTTTCGCATCGGCGAAATTTTTTTCGCTATTCATTCGCATATGTCAATGCTGGTGCCCAATGCTGCTTCGGCTGCATTGACCTACATCAGATAGTTTCCTTCCCTAAAAGAAGCCAGTCTATCCACAGCGAATTACTCCTTAGAGGGGATCGAAGCTTAAGAAAGAAAACCCTCCAACCTGTTTGGAAAGAGCCGCATCACTTATGAAAAGAAGTTATCGTCTTGCACATGATGACGCTGTAAATTTCGAACCCACAGGTGGAGCACTTAAAATTCTGGGTAATATCGCTGGACTAACTGTTTTTCGTCTTCTTTTCTTTGACCGCTATGACGATGAGTAACAAATGTACCGGACCCGCGTTGTCTGCTTCTAAAAGTCGTCATCATTTCCTTCGATGTACAGAATTTCTTGCCGACATCATGGATTCAATGGGGTTTTTCTTGATCACGTCACTTCAGTTCTTTCTTTGGAGCACCTTTGATCGCCAACGCTAAACTTTAACTCCATATCTCTTTTGGTCAAGTGTTCCCATGGTCTTTTCAGCATACCATATCCATACCAATCGGGAGCTTCCGAGGAGAATCGGTATTTGCGCCCGAGCAGCAGATTTCCGAGCAGGTCAGGCCGCGTCCAGCCGTTCTTTTGCTAGCCTTATTGACAACGGGGTGTCTGGGTTCCGCACATTTGATTAGCGTTCGTAGACACCTCTCATATGCTTCAGAATTAAAAATACAAAACAAAGCAGTCTTTTCCACTGTGAGTCCGCTCCCGCTGTTACCCATTGCTTCATCTGCACTGTCGAATGACCTATACTGCTTTTTTCCAAGTCCGCTAGGTTGCTCTTTGAGGTTCGCGCGACCTTCTTTGAGTATCATTTGTTTGAAGTTCCTCTTTCCAGCTTCATACAGTTTCAAGTTTCCACCACCAAGCTCTTTGCAAAGTTCTTACTCTTCCTTTTTCGCTTCTATAGCTGTGTTGGCTAGAAGAGACCTGCGCTGAGGATCCCAATTCTTAGGCCGTTGTAAATGTGTGTCTGTAGATGTTATAGGTGTATATATACAATACATATACATATATATAACAGCTTGATTTAATGACCTGTTGATTGGAAACCAGTTGAAGCGATCTCCTTTCATAGGGACTGTTTCCTAACTAAATTCCCAGGAGATTTCTGAGCCCTTCTTGTAGGTATAACCTAGCGCCGCCGGTCTATAGATGTTCCTCCCGCTCGTTTGCCCCTTTCCACAGAAGGAATCACGAGGTAAAAATAGAGTCCAATTAAATAGAATTGGATATTGGGTGTCAGACCCACTATTCAATTCTATTTAATTGAAATTTTTTGAAGCGTCACATAATTCCAATATGTCGAAAATGAGCTTTAAAATACAGTTTCATATATTACATCAAACAAGAATTTGAAAGTGATTCGAAAAAGTCAATTTTGAAACATCTATTTGGAGCTTTGCAAAATGGTCGAGCGACCTTACGGCCCAGTGAATTCCTTACGATAAGGCTAATTAAGCTGCTTCGTTCCAAACTCGTTCTCAAATGTGGTTAGGACGAAAATGCCGTAAATTGACCCTCTCACAGTGATTCAGGGAATTCCGCATTCCCTGAATCACTGACAGAGGGTCAATTTATGAAATTGACCTGCTACCTTTGAAATGTTCGATCTCAACCCATATCATGAATCGCTTGCAGGAAAGATAGATAGGGATAAAAGGCGAATGACAATTTGGAAACAAGAAAATGAGACCTAGTTATATATTAATTGAGGTAGTTCCAGCGAGCCATAAGAAGTTTTCTTCTTAGGCAAACTGTAACTGGCAATTTTAAACTGGTTTGCCGAGTTTACAAAGTCGTTCTAACTGATATTGTCCAACTAAATCTGATTTTGGATTTTGATTTCTGATCAAGAACTTCGTACTGAAAAGAAACACTTTCGACCTCTCGGTTGCTTCGACTTTCGACGGAGTCAAAACTACCAGAGCTGCTCGGAACCTTTCCACAATTAGTGAGGAATCAGTGCTTTAAGGACTGCTCGAGATTGGTCTGCACAAGATTTGAGACAACCTGAGTTGGACAACATGTCCAGCTCCGCTTTTTTCTTCCTGACCTCAAAGAAGGCAGCCTTAGGCAGTATAAAAGAAGAGTAGTAGAAAGACAGTCAAGAGCTAACCTGGAAATGGGCTGCAATGCATATACCTTTCTGTGTAGTCTTCACGCAGTGGATGGGATCTGAAGAGAAGAAAAAGGGAAAAAACCAATCCTAAACAAGTTTTTTTCTTGATGTGTCAAATCTAACTTTGATCTTTTCACGATAGCCGACCGATTATATTATTAAAAACGCAAAGGAGCGGGAAATGCATCTTTTTGACAACTATGTACGGTCGCTATGTTTAGAAATAGATTTGCTATTTTTAGGTGATTAAATGGCTCGATATGCCTCAACCAAATCGTCCAGGTCTGATTCTAGTAAGCAATGACGACTTGATCAGAGCCCTCGGAAAGGATGCATCAGACTCAGCAGTGAGCTTTTGTAATTTAGGGAATTCCAAGAACAACTGTTTGAAGAGTAATTCCGAATTGCTTCATGAAATCATTTAACAATTACTCTGAGCACATGTGAGTCGTCCATCAAGCAATTGTTCATTTCTGAGTATAGGGCGTAATAAGGGTACAAAGATTGAATCCGGCACATGCTACACCGTCGTGACACGTAGCGACAGCCGGTGGCCATTTTTGGCTTGCTGCGGTCAGCTCTAGGCACTACAACATAACTGATAGCTCTTCTAAATTCCATTTCCATGCACTTCTGTCGTCATAATCTCGTGCAAGGTTTTTTCTCTATTTTTCGAAGTATTTTTAATGGAGATTTTTCCTGAATTATGTGTTTTCTCTGTTAGCCTGTAAGCATAGAAAAGTTCCCGTCTATTCTGTTCGACTGGTTCGACCGTATAAGCGTAATTAATTGATTGTTTCATTCAGGTGGCCAATGCTCTGAGTCGGCTCGATCATAACCTTGATCTCTTCTTCACGCAACTTCATTTGGCTGACATTCTTGGATGCCTCAACATCGTGATCGCCTCGGACCAAGGCGAGTTCCTGATTCCACTTGTATCATATTTAAAAAATAGGTTAGCCTTCAGCCTCCTGAGGAGATCAGAGAAGTTTTCGTTCGAGTTATCTGAAACGCTGAGTAGAAGTAGACGCATGAGTGATCTTTTTTTCTCCAGATGCGTCTTTCTCATGATTCCACGACTTTGCAAATCAGAGAACGTTCTAACGTCTATTTTAACATCACGTCATATATCTCTAGAAAGCTCTTCGTATCATCTATCTCAAGTTTGTTAATTCAAAAGGAAACCCTTATATAGACAATTTAAGCGGGCCACCCTACAGGGGATCGCAACAGATCGTCGAAGTGCAAAGGAAAGGTATAGGAGGAGCGGGATCCACACAGTGAAAGTAGGACCGGCATTGGAATAGTGCTAGAGTTGGTTTCTTGTAGAATACGCTGCTGCTTCGCTGCCATTCGGTATGCTCCACGTGGTTTCGGACAGCTCGACTAGGTTTCCATACTTGGTAATTCAACATAGCACTGTTCTTCATTTCACACTGCATAAATGAGTAAATAAGAATTGACGGAATCCATATAAATCAGCTGCCCTCGTTAGGGAAGTTAATGAGCTGAGCGAACGCTTCTATTCTTCATCCTCTTCTTAGCGTTCCGCACAATAGTAGAGTCCGCTATTCTAGTTAAACGCTGCCGTTTCCTCCTACTTACAGCAACTTCTGCTTCCACTTTGGTTGCGGCGTGGTCCTACTTGATCACGCCTTGCTGCCTTTTTTGACCATTGGTGGCTTTCCTTGGTCTTCAAACTTCATTGCTTTTCTTGTCGAATGATTCTCTGGTCAACTCAGTGCATGGCCATATCATTCCGGCGCTGTTCTCTCGTCTTCATCCGGAAAGGGCTGTTTTTACGAACGTCTCGAGTAGCTCATTCCAACTCCCGTTCCAGTTACCATGCCGGACCCATCTGAATATTGTCATTTTTGAGGAGTTGAGTTGACTCTTATGACTTTTGCGTACACACTACAGCTGTTGCCGTAGAACATGGCGAGCCTCAACGGTGTCCTCTATACCTTTTTTGGAAAGTCCTTGAGCATGGTCGGTCGCAGAGAATGGCACTAAACTCCCACCACTCATAGATTATTTTTTTACGAGGGCCTTCGCGGCACGATCCAAGTCATTTCCCAACTATCGGAAGACATGACACTTTCAATTCACTTTCCAAGGCACTGTTATTCGAAGCGTATAGGCTACAGATGGGCTCTGCACACTTCTCGAAGCTGTGTAACTTGGTCTACTTAAGACCTAACAGGAGCCCGTTCTGCTGGAGTTCTTCTCTACTCTTCGCTATCAGTGCGGTGCCATCAGCAAACCAGTGATCGACGCATGAGTCCTTTTGCGATGACAACCGTGGTTAGCCAGACGAGGAAAGGCACAGAGCTGGTCCTCGATCAAGCCACACCTGGCGTCTAATGCCTTTGTTAGGCCGTAAGAGCTGCGTATATCGTCGAACATACATATTCTTGACGAGGGAGATCAATGCTCTGAGACATTTCGTTTATAGAACCATCCCAAAAAATGGTGACGGTAGGGGGCAGAACGCCTTCTTCGGATCAAGGAAAGCTGGGTAAAAAGGTCTACGTTCCCTCTACGCTTCTTGCTCACTCGTCTCTTTGGAGATAACCTCAATCGTGGACCTTTGAGGCATGAAGCGGTACTGTTCTCGAGAAATTTCTTCCTTCTCTTTCCTTTTGTCTTTTCGTTTATTTCCAACGTTAGGTCTTTGTTTTGCATTTTCTCCTAAAGTCCTTGTGAAAAAATTTTGGAACCATCCTTTTATGGCCAAATTTCTTAATGTTAGTTGCTGAACAGTTCACTGCTTGAGCTAGGACCATTACAGTGTTGCTAGTGCTTTCGCAATGTTTTTGCCAGGAAATTTGGTTCGATAGTGCGATTGACGTATGCATGTTTTAAACAGACGGCATCTCGTGCGAGTGGCCCTCCTATACCCCTTCTGACCGTGCGAGTGCCATAGTCCACGTAGTTCTCCTAAAATTGAGGGATCGTTACTTCGATCCTAGTCGTTGAATCGAGTTGTCGTTGAGCATTCTCGCTGGTTCTTTCTTAGACCAGCCCATGCAAAGTCAAACTTCGATGCCACTTGGAATCTGTCACGTGAATCTTAGATAGGTACGCGAGCTTAGGTACTTGAATTTCTTTCTATGTTTTAACGCTACATGCAACAATAAGCAAATAAAAATGACTGGATCCATATAAACTCGTCCGCCTTGTTCGTATCGATGCCTTCTGTTCTTAGCAAAACGAATCCGTACATATCTCGTAGAAGAGATGGCGAGAGAAGAGAGATTGGTGAGAGAAGAAGGCGAATAAAAATATGAATGAACGAATGAATCTGAGCTGTCTAGGGCTTATATATGTACGCAATATGTTTCGAAACACAACATGAACATCGTGATATTTTATCAGAATTCATCGAAGAAACAAGGTTCAACTTCTGTTTGCTCAGAAACTCCCTGCATGAATGGGCGAGGCGAGCTCTACATTATGTTGCACAACAGTCGATACGATCAGACAAGGGATATGAATTTTCTTAACCTACTAAATGACTAAAAATTTCAAAAGACTAAAAATTCTGAAAGAAACTTCAATCATCAAGGAATACAGTACATTTGCACTAGAATTCTTCATAACTTTAAACAGAGTTTCTTCTACACCAGAACGGAACACGAGTGCGCTGAATGCTGCTGAGCATTCGTTGACATTCACACTTGGGTTGAAAATTGAATGATGACAGCCATTCTATTTTATCATATTTTTCACAGCTTTCATCGTTTTGTTACTGTTTTCAACGGCTTTGAATTCAGGTTTTACAAAGACCTCAAATCGTTTCGACTTGAGCGAGAACGTTAATCTGGGCAACGCAAGAGTCGAGAACGGTCCAGTGATGAAAATTTTTGGCAATGGATCAGGTACGTTAACGTTGTTAAAGTTTGCTTAGAAATGTTTCATAACATCCTCCTTCGTCAGCTGAATATGCATGTCGTACAGCCATCAATCGACAAGATTTACACTATTAGTGTCGAGCAGCATGAAATTATATATTTGCTTAAAATTTGATTGAGAGTCAATACATTAAAAATCATAGAAGGGCCTTCTTGATAAAGCGCTATAAGTTCCACCTTCTCCGTTGTTGTGAGGCCTAGAAGCTACCCTAACAGGGTTGAATAGGCATAAGATTTCCTGAGAGCTTAGAAGGGACTAAGCTTCTTTATCAATTCCTGGTTTTTCTACTTTTCTTTGCCGAAGCTCTAGAATAGAATTTCTTGTTAAATTGTAGAGAAAAAATTTTTCTTAGCTGTAGGCTATCACCAAAATAAATAGCAATACCACATTGTGTTGAAAAGCCCTTCCTATGAGTGCACCTCATTCAAAAAAAAAAACGAATATTTAGAAACGCAGAACCAATTTTATTCTCTTTTAGCTGCTGAAACCAAATCATCAGATAAAAACTCCATACTTACTATTTATAAAGCGCTCGCGTCTGTCTGTACGTTTGTTTGTCACGAAATTCAATGTTTCGTGGAAACCAACTGGAGAGGTTGGGTCAAATTCGGGATGGGTTGGGTACAGGTCGGAATCAAGGGAGCACACGCAAACTCAGCGGTGCTTCTCGTGGGGGAGCAGGAATGCAGATGAGTTATGGGCTAAACTGCCTTATTTGATTCATAATAGCCCAGGCTATAGGGAAGAATGAGCAAAGGCGAGGTGTTGTTCAAGAAATGAAATGAAGGAGACACACACAGGGCACAGTTCAATGGAACACACTCTTTGAAAAAGAATATAACTTCGCTCAAAATGTTCTGAAACAAGAAGAAAGGTTTGAAGGGAAAAAAACTCAAAAACTCCCTGGAATGAGGGGAAAAAGTGATTAGAGTTAGTAGAAATAGAAGTGATGGAATCCCCGAAACAGGCGGTGTTTGCAGTGGGCGGAGTCTTATCAAAGCCTTCCTATTGAAGCTTTTCCTTCTCCGAAAGACTTCGTGAGGATATCAGGCTTACCAATTAGCAGTCGTTCAGATGTTGAAGAAATCCTCCGACAATTCTCTACTGTTGACAAAGACATATTGCGTGTGTTCACAAGGCTCTCTGCTCCTCCAAGGTGGCATTACAGTGGCTCCTCAGAAGCTGTCGATGTGCTCGTAGTCGGCCAAAACGGAAATGATCTCTGTTGGTGGGCTGTACTTTGCAATTTATTTTTTCTTTTTCTTGTTCAAAAAAGGCGCCATAGGAAATGCAATGGAGAAGCAGTTGCCGCACTGACGGCAGTAAGCGAATATCAGGATCAACATATGCAGACGATTTTTTACGCTTCGGGGCCATCGATCAGGAGCGCACTGACGCTGCCTCCATTTCAGAACATCGAGTTGATGAACCTATGGATCGGTGAGTGGTTCTTACTCTTTTGAGTTTGGAGATATAACCAAGGCAAAAATATGGGGTGAAAAGGAAGGCTTGGACAAAATTAGATTTCAGAACTCCTCAAGTTGGAGTATGTGCCAAATAACGGTACCATTGCTTTTGCAAAACAGATTCTATGGAAACCACAACCTAGGTTGGAAAGGAGAAAGTTCGGGATCAGGTATGTACTCGACAAGAACTTCCGGACCTCAAAAAATATACTGTTTCAAGAGAATGCCCGTTCACGAATGAGGAATCGGTGATTGATTGCGGTGGCTGCTCTGTGCTAAGACGGGTAAGATCGTCATTACTTTTGAGATTTCAGTTATCCTATTCTATAATTCTTGACATAATGGATACACCTCACCACTACGTGTGGACTTTGCATCTCAAGCTGAGAAAGTATTTCAGCGGATCGCGTAATGATGGGTCACACAAAGGCGAAACAAATGGCTTCGTTACTGCTCTTGTTTGATCACATCCATGAGTTTATAACAGTAAGGGGACGTGATTATGATACATGCATAAGAGTCTTCGTTATTTTTAAGAATTAGTGTTAGCTCTCGTTCTTGGTCGAACTTCTCAGGATGGGCTTTATTCAACTGCCTTTTAGAATGACAGGGATATCGCAAAAGATAATCCACGCGCAAGCCAGTTTTTTTTTCAACTGAACATTTCCGGCGCAGGTTACATGATCTCAACCCATGAAGGCGATTATTGCGTATTCGGTTAACCATTGTACCCGTGGTTTTTGAAAACCATATGAACACAAAGTTTGATCTGATCTGATTAGAAATATTGGCGAAATAATAGATGGAAGGGACTAAAGAACATCGCTTAGGTAAGACTAAGAAATTGGATGCTTACGTGTGCCCAGCCCAACCGACATCTCGTTCTGCCTTCGAGCTCTTCTTCGTCAGTCTGCTATCAAAAATTCTGCGAGAAACTCATCATTACCGGAATGAATGAAGGTTTTTAACAATTCTTGGACTTAGATGAGTGCGTTGTGGACTAAGAAATCAGGTATTCATTCAGATGAGTCAGTGGCTCTGGTAGAGATATTTCATCAAAACAACACTGTCACATCATCGCAGTTCGAGTGCCGTTTCGTGAGTTCTCGCTATGATGCCGAATGTCCTACAATAACTGTCTCAGAAGGTCACGAAATACGAACACTGTCAGCCAACCCCAGAAAAGGTAGATTGCTTCCCATCGAACTCATTACTTATCGTGTAAATTTTTTTCAGTACTTGCACGCATTGCTACTATTCAAGTTCCTTGGGATGTGTCTTTCATTAAAGGTAAAATTTTCGCATTCGATAGAGTCTTTTTTAGTTTAGGAAGTGGGTCATAGTGGGTGGACGACGGATGCAGTTGTTACAATTAAAATCTGTTTGGGTGAAGTTGCGATCACTCGGCACCGAAGCTTAATAAAGAATACCCAGTCACGCATTTTGCGAAAGCAATCTAAGTCATGAAAAAGCTTGCATAGGAATATAATTAATTTTCACTTGACCCTTTGCAGACGTGCTTGATCCTCTCAACTCCTACACTCTGGCGAAGTCGAGGGAATTTGGCCGCGTTATCTGCATCACTGGGACAGCATTTGATCGTAATCTTGACGGAATAGCTGATGCAAACAAAACGTCAGTCTCTTATCTTCTTTTTCATTACATTTGTTCCTACTCCGCATAATCATACATCATGATATGAAAAAAAAANAAAAAAAAACATAGTGGAAATAAGGGAGCTCTCGCTAGCCGTCAAAACCTAGTCGCAGCATTTTCCCACACCATCGGTACGGTAGTGCTCCTCTTCTTCTCTCCACTTCCCGGAAAAGTGGCGATGAACGGTTTCTAAAGCTGAAGAATTATATCTGTGACACTTTCTCGAAGTGCAAAATAATATAGTCACATATGGTCGTTGATCAATTTTCAACTCTGCAAAAAATGGGTCCAACTGAGACGAGAAAAAAACTCTTTATAGTCAACTATTTTAGAATTGTATGGCTTCTTTCATCACATTATTCCTTTTTTGTTGTTGAGTCGTAAAAGACCTCGTAAAAGAGGTGTTGGAAACCCGAAAATGATAAGCCCTTGTAACTATAATCGGGGCTTCGGTAGTAATTTGACAAGATTAACGATAGTAACATTGTAATCGGCTAATTTTTCTCTGACGACGGCTGAAATAGCGTGACAGGTTTTTCAAATGGTTCAGGGGAAGCTCACTTCTGAAGAGAAATGAGTCATCGCAAGTTTCCGTGTTTTACAGGTGCTATTTACGTAAAAAAATCATTATGACTTTTCTAAAGTGCTCAGAAGTGCATATTCAGGATAAAAGAGTCATTTGTGTCCGTAAAATATTATAGGAATGCTTTTGTGCCGTACGAGGTTGTTAGGTAGAACAATTTATTTAATCAACGGCCTAAAGTTTGGGGGCAAATCGTCTTCTTCAGAGACCAGGGTTCCATTTGTGTCCGTAACAATCATTTTCAGTCAACCTTCTCAGAATTTTAGCGGTTCGCCGTCTCATCTGTACCGAGTTCTCATAAGATGCTCATCAGCATGGTCCTTGAATGGATTCAACTGTCGAAATCCATTCCGAACTGAAGTTCTCGCCTTCATTTTTCCGCACACAAAGGGTGACGCAAACGGCATGGTGAGAGAACTTCCACTCAGCAGTAGTTGATCATCAAAGCCGAAATTAGTCAGCATTGATCGGTCCTTACTCGGGATATGGAACTTCTTATTGGTTGAGAAGTATGCTTAGGAACCTTTTCCAGTTAAGTATAAGGACAAGGAAGTGAACGGGTTGGTGGGAAGAAATAATGTTTTGCGACATTACAAACCCCATGCTCACTTCCCGTTTCCGTCTGCGATTTTTTTTCATTCAATACCATTGAAAACAATCTTTCTTTCTGGTATCAGGGATATTCTAAAAAGCCAACAACTGATCATCTTTCGCGAACGTTTGTGATCCTTTTAATGAAATTTGAACTGTTTGAATAGAAATGAGGTAGTTACTTTCACATCCTTCCGCTTAATTCGTTGAGCTATGATGCATTTTTCTAGGCCCCCGAAAAGCTCCTTTTACAATATACGGCTCGTCTTAAAGATGTCGAACTGATCGCGGGCATTGAATTTGACCTGCCTATGGTTCCTGCCATGTATATGATGCATTTGAAGCTGAACGTCGTAACACAGCTATGGTAGTTTTGTAGGTTTCATACTAATCACTTATCTAGCATACTTATGAATTATGAAAGTAAATAACGAGATGAATTATACCCACTGTAATCATTAATTTTTCGTCTCTTTCCTCATTATTCAGCTCAAATTTTCGTTAAGTTTGAATAAACATTGTTTGTTCGGCCTACAAGACGGAAAGGTTTTTGTCGTTCGAAGGAATTGGATATGCGATTGAACCATATCCTTCCTGATTACTTCAACAGGCAGACAAAGTCGGGGAACGTCAGATGCGAATTGGCGCAATGTGTGCGAGCGCCACTTCCAGTCAAATGGTCGCGTGTTCGGGCTCGCGAGTGTCGGTGCTGTGAAGATAAAGAACTCTCTCACTGAAGTTAGCTGTGTTGTTTACCTACATTATCAGAGCGCTTCGTTTTATAGGAAAATTTGACTCGTAGTGTACAGTCAACGAGACAAGCTTGGACGTAAAACACGTTGTTTTATATTTCGGCTATAATCCTGCTTGGCTTTAAAAAAACATATTGAAAAACATTACTAGCTGAGGACGAGTTTTGTAAGCAGTTTAGTTGGAAGGTACATACGGTCAATATGCGACCTTATGGTGACAAGAAACGCGTACTAACGGGGTGAGGTAACAGAGATAATGGCTCCTTCATACGTACCTTTTTGCGAGCTTTTGAAAGTTTGTTAAAGGAAAACCCATCTAGTCTTTGGAATAGCCGGGGTATCTGGAATCTGGTATCTCTTAGGAACCTCTACCTTCGAGTTTTCCTGCCACATACACTTGGGTAAGAGCGAGGACCCCATTTTGCAAGTTAATAGTAGTTTTTTCTCATTTTTTTCTTTATTGCTAAATCACTGATCTTCATTCATTTCCGATCGGCGCTATTTATATCTAGCTTGTCGCTGAGGATTCCTCCAAAGTGTAGGATATCAAAAGGATTGATGAAATAGTCGGAAACGTTTGGAAACTTACACAGTCCTCCTTCTCTTTCTCGCTCTAATCTTTTCGACGCAGTTATACGTCAATTGAATCAGTTCGCTATGTTTATCAGTCAAATTCTGTAGCGGCGTAAGTTCATGGTGGTCTCGCTGCTCTAGTTGAGCTGCCGCCGCTTCACTGTTATGGCCGCTGTAAGAATCCTGTGGTTGCAAGGGGACAGAAATGTTCCTGTGATATTAACGACCGTGAGGGTGAAATAGGATGCCACGGAGCTTGTGACAAAATTAGTCACATTTTTTATGAATTTTTTATGAATTCCATTTCCTTCTCGTTTTCATGACCCACCTTTTGAAATATAATAGTATATGTACCAGCAGCTCACCATGGCTACTACGAGTGAGTTTGCGTTTTTTCCACTCAGTATTTCCAAACAACAATTTACACCAACTACCACGTAACGATTTTCTTTAAAGGCACCTATCACAAAAAAGTTAGGGTATCCTTTTCTGACGGGAATTGATAGAACTACTCTAGAATAAAGCGATAACAACGAAAAAAGCTCAAAAAACGATGAACAAAAAGAATTAAAAAGGGCCAAAAAAAGAGCTGGAAAGGGGTTTGGACGAGTTTCACAGTGAAAGAACGTCGGTTAGAGAGTGTTCGGGCAAGTTGGCAAATTGCCAGGGACGGCAAATTGGCAACTTGCCAGAGACGCAATGTGTTGTCTGCAATAGCATGCAACACATTGCGTCCCTGGCAATTTGCCAATTTGCAATTCAGGGTGGGTCCTGGCGCGATTACATGACACTGTGTCGTCTCGACACTCGTCTAACGTGACACCGATCAAGGGGCGGAGGGCGACCGTGGATATCTGTCCGGCCCCTGATTGTGCCCTATTCAGCCGTTTTCCGACC